CTTATAACTGTCATAGCACTAGCTGCAATAGAACAAATTATACCCCCCACCCAGGAGAGCTGTTGGACCAAAGTGTGGGCCATAAGAAGAAAAGATAAGCCCTTTTATTCCTCTGTGGGGCAAACAACAGATTGGGTGTAGAGATTTTTATCTGGAAAATGTTGTGCAAGGAATTAGTAATTTAGCCACCTGCTCCAATCAAATTAGCAGATCAAGGTGACTGCTTTTCAATAATGCATGACATGTAGTTTAGCCCTGACTAAATAATGCACATTGCAACCAATATGCATAGATCTGCACCTGTTAAAAAGGACAGAATGCAGTCAAGGCCAGGGTTAAGGAAATCAGGAAACATCAATACATGATGCAAATACATAATGCCTCATTTCTCACAAATGCCTACCAATCCCATCAAGTTGCTCCATGGAGAAGAAAGTTATTTTTTCCATTCTGATATGTTAGTTTGCATGTTGGCCTCTGCTTCTAGACCATGGTTCACCGGCAGATGCACATGTGCCTACAAAGACCCTCCCTGTCATTCACAAGGTATCTCTCTCCACCGAGGTTCATCCTGAAAGAAGCATTTTATTGTAGACAATGGAAGAGGTTGTGCTGTGTGCTTGGTTGCAGGAGGGGTGCCCACAACAGTTTCTCTGGTTTGCAAATGTGCCCACAGGCCTTCTGTTCTAGACTATGCTCTCAATTATATGTATAAACAAGGGGCTATATTTAAAGATACCAATAAATCAGAAACAGCAAAGAGTTTTCTGGCACTTAAAAAATACTAGCTGAGTTGTTGTCGCATTAGTTTTTATGGACCTGAGCCTATTTCATTCGATGCATCAAGTATCCTCTTCATTTGGCAAACACATAGATGTTTACAAACAATAAAAACCGTAAATCGAGGGCAGCTCTAGTCTACAAAAGCTCGTGCCACAATAAATCTGTTTTGAATGTGTCACAAACAGATATTCAGTTATCCTTTAGGATTTATTTGTGACTTGCAAGAAGTTAAAGATGATTTTCATTGTTCTATAGAGACATATTTTCGCTAAATTTTTGTGCAGTATTAAATGGAATGCTTTTGGTAGTGCAACCAACATAAATCTGCCAGTTTTAAAATAGTTTAGTTTCAGTTAACAGCCTACAAATTTAAATGTGATTTCTTGCCCACCCCCCTTTCAATTTTCATCGATTCTTGTGGAGAACTGATCTTAGGATTCAGCTAGATTTAGTCTTAGTGTTTCATTCTTACAATTTTATGGCTTTAAATATCTTACTTATTCGTAGTTTAATAGAACATTAGTATTTCATCTAATACATTTGTATTCGATCATGGAATTCAAAGAGACATAGGTTCTCAGGCACTCTCCCATCTAGGTACTGACTACACCAAAACCTGCTTAGGTTGAGCAATCATGTAAGGACCCAAACATTTTTTTGGGGGGGTACCTTTACCAAGGCTCAGAGATGCAGCTGGGACCAGCCAGCAACCTCATTTCCATGGAAGGTAAAATGCAAGCTAAAATGTAAACCAACAATGAATGCATTTCTTTTGACACCCCATTCAGTCCTAACATGTTAATTAATTTCAATGGGTCTAAGATTCTATGTGAATCAGAGAATCAGAGAATTGAAGAGTTGGGACCTCGAGGGTCATTTAGTAGGATCCCCTGCAAGGCAGGAATCACAGCATAGCTGAACACCACCCAAGTTGTGTGAACGTCAATAGTTGTGACAATCTTTGTTTTTAACAACTAAAAGGAGATGACTGAATAAGAAGACCACCTGGCTATGTTAGTCCAAACTTTAAGCTAGTCTGTGCATTATCACGGCTATGCTCATGTACACATCTGCTACAAGCTCATCTTGTTGACTTTCTAAGAGTCTTGCTGCAATCCCAAATGTACAGACATTAGTAATTATAAATGAATGATTCAGGTTTCCCAAATGTGGGTATTTAAAATAGGTATATATATATGCATGCATATTTTTCTTTCGCTCTTCATGTGTTTGCAGCAGAAAATACCTGATATATGTTGTTTCCTGCAGCAGTTATGAAGCTCTCTACTCATTATGGAAAGCTAGCTGCTCATAGACTTCACTGGATTTATTAGCACGGTAGCACAGGCAGTATAAGGCATCTATAAACTGTCCGTTGGAAACGAGCAATGTTAGAATGAATGAAAATATTGCTTGAAGAACTTGTTTTACATTATGCATCAGGCTCATTCAATGAATATGTTTAAACAGGTTCTGTGGCAAGCATATTGCAGGAAGCAGAAGTCCCTCTTATAACACATGAGAAATGCCAGCAATTGATGCCAGAGTACAATATTACTGAAAATATGATATGTGCAGGATATGATGAAGGAGGAACTGATTCCTGTCAGGTAAAATTGATATGTCTTTTCTGCTACAGTACAGCTGGGGAAACCCAGCCAGATGGGTGGGGTATAAATAATAAATTATTATTATTATTAGGCACATTTTTTGATTCTCTGACCATTACTTATGGTGCTGAATGTTCTATATCATAATTCGATAACTGATAAATGGAAAAAAGCATTACTTAAGTTGGGAGCTTTCTTTAAGGGCAGCATCATTATCAACATCATCATTATCTTACTGCTTTCAATTCTTCTCATTTATGACCTTAGCATACTTGAATTTATTTAGAGAAACAACAACCTCTAGGCTCTGTCACCTCCAAGGGAATACAAAGCAACTACTGATAGCATTGCAGGCCATGGGCTGCTGTCATCCTCAGATTGTTTCTAAAGATATTCTGCCGTCTAAGAAAGGCAATGTCTATTTCTCCAATGCTTACAAAAACCCTTCTGACACAACTTTCATGCTGGCTCAAAGAATTTAGCTTAAAGTAGAAGCTCATGCAGAGGGTTCTGTTAATACTGCGTATAACTGACAGGCATCTCAGTGAATGCTGAAGGCCATAGCAAATCCCATTTTAGCTTTACATAGCGTTTTGTCTCCAATTAAAAACAAATGTATGTAACAATATTTGTCATTCCAGGGAGATTCTGGTGGGCCACTGATGTGTCAGGAGAATGAAAGGTGGTTACTGGCTGGCATGATATCCTTTGGCCGTCAGTGTGCTCTGCCAAATCGTCCCGGCGTTTATGTGAAAGTTTCGAAATTTGTTGACTGGATAAAAAAGACTATCCATTAGCACCATTTAATATATATATATATATACATATATATATATGGAAAACTAGAGGGTTATGTTCAACAAAGCCACTCCATTACTACAAGGATTTCCACTTGTTCAGAAGAACTTCCACTGCCTCTTCTACCCCTGTGTTTCCACCCCCCACAATAAGTATGTTCTGGGGACAACAGTGTCCCGTTAGGACTACAAGATCAGCAGAGAAGGGCACCACATTCAGAAGTGCAGAGAACGGTACCCCAGGAGATAGCATTCTCCATGGCAGCCCCTAAATGGTAGAACTCTCTCCCGAGAGAGAAGTGTCTTGCATCTTCATCGATCACTGTATGCTATAAATGCACCTCTTTACCCTGAAACATCAACTGTGACATGTATACCATAGCATCATAGAATTGTAGAGTTGGAAGGTACCCCAAGGGACATCTAAGCTAACCCCCTGCAATGAAGGAATCATAGTCTTTAAAATGTATTTTTGTAGTACTGAATATTGTTCATGCCTGCTCTCTCTGCTTAACTTTCGTTGTGCCTTTCTCATCACAAATAAAGTACTGAAGATGCTGCAAGTAACGCTTCCTTCTGTTGATTTTGGTTACTGGAAATCTCAATCCTGAAGTATTATTTAAGATGCTGAGGTAGAAGCAGAGATTTCTGCTGTCAAAAAAATGTTCCTGAAACAGGCAACTTTGGCAGAGCCGTCCATTTCTGAAGGTCAAAACGCAACACAGCTTCACTTCCTTACTGCAAGGATATACCTACACAACCTCCATTGGTGTTGGATCATTAGAATGACTGTAGTTGTGCTTTTCTGATACTGCGCTGTAAGAAGCTGTATATATAAGCTTCTTCTCAATTGCCACATATATCCCTCCCTTAACTGCCACCGCCTTTGAATAGCAGTTGTGCTTCCCAGGGTCTTGAAAGGATCAGTGAGCTAGAAACTCTGATGCACTGGGACAGTGTCTTATCTTTCCCAGTGCAAGAAAGAGGAAAAACACCAAAACAAGGAGACAAAATGTCCCCCTGTGCCAGTGGCTGGCTTCTTTATACTAGACCCTGGACATTTCTGCCTTTCCTGACATAGCAAAACACAGATGGGGACAGTTTATTTATTTAGATCGTCAACAATTGTTCTTAAAATCTAGTTACTTGGCACAGCAATAACTAGCGATCTTTGCCTTCCCACCCCCACCCCCTTTTTTGTTTGTTTCCAAGGATTGAATGAATAACTTGTCATGGGCAGAATGACTCAAGTTGCCCCTGGGCAAGCATAATATCAAAATACCCTTTTTGCTACCAAAGTGTACTCATTACAGTTCATCAGTTTGTTTCCCCGTGGTTTTGAAGTTTATCCTTGCAGAATAGCACAGTGTTGCCAATTGTCTTTAGTAATGTAAGTCAAAGAACAACAGTAAAATCACCTCCTATTTCAAATAAATAATCCTACAGTCAATATTTTTATCAAATTTTTATGCAAAGATAAATTATTTTGTTACACTGTAAATTTATATTAACTGAATTTACAGTACACCCATTAATAAGAGACAATACAACGTATGAGAAACTAACAAGGAGGGAGTTAAAATTTAAACTAGAAATGACTGTTTAGAAGTGACATATACAGTAGACATTTTTCCATATATATTCCAAATGCTCTTTCCATCTCATTACTATCTGTAGCAGAGTCATTTTCCATAGCAAAATAAATGCATTCTTTTTTTCTTTTGGAGTGCCATGTTTTGCTACTGAATTCAAAATCAAACTTTGCATATAAAAATGATCTGAACAATTGCCTCAAGGGGGAGCTTCCAGTTCATTTTGCTGATCCATTGCAATTCCAAGCCATTCCAAGCTAATATCTGACATGACATTATAATAGATCCTGAATGGAAAAGTGTTATTCCTGCTTTCTTTTCAGTCATATCTCTATACCTCCATGCTGCTGTCTTTCCGTGCATTCTTAGAAATCCATAGCGTAGACTGGTCCGGACTGGTTTTTGTTCTTCCTTTACTGGAAAATTAGAAACACAATTGTATATACATGCATTTATTATACATCTATTCCTTTCATATGTTCATGTAAGTATGCAATGAAAGATGGGTGACGGTGCACAATAAACAATTGTAAAGGCTTTCCAAATGGTCTCTGCTACTAATGTTGCTTGGTTGGCCTCCTGTAAAAAGATTATGCACTTAGCCGCTGGAAGGTGACCTCACACTCGACAGGATGTTTTTCTTGGTAAGGAAGTATACAAGATGAGCCTATCAGTGCTGTGCTTTCTCACAGATCTATCATCTATATGGTCCTCAAAATCTATGCCCACCCTCAGGCAAACCTTAAAGTCTAAAGCTTAGATCCAGTAAGCTTTGTGTGGTACTTTACATATTTATCTTACAGTACATTAATTCATTACCTGATCTATAGCTTCTTTGTATTGAGTCAAAAATTCCTAATGGTAATAAATAGCCATAGCTGTTGAATCAGCCCAGTGGCTTTCCTTCTTCAATCCACCATTAGCAGTGTTATACTTTGAAACCCGTTTTGCAGTATGCATTTATTTCTCAGCTAACCTAAGGACACTATATCCATAATGTGGAAGCTTATTTTCTATGGCTCCATTCAAAGGCACTGCAGCTAAAAGCCTAGCAATACATTTGAGTCATTCCCATACAACTGTTAGTCATCTGAGATGCACGGGTTGGGCTAGGAACAATCTGATACTAAAAGCACAATTGATCCCAACCACATTGTGCCAAACCTTTAGAATTTGCCACCGTGCCATGGAATGAAGCAAGGAAAAGTTACTCCCAATCCAGCACTGCTGCTTTTAAAGGACACTTTGAGTGGGATGTCATCTGAACAAAGGTAGCAAAAATATGTTCTGAACCAAGTGCATAGATTGAACTATATCCATAGATATAGAGCAACACAATTTCAAGGCCACCAAACTGAATGAAGCCACCTGAGCCCTGGTGAGGAGATTCTGTCCCTGTGCAAAGTTTCTTGGAAGAGCGTTCTGTAGATCACAGGAGTTGCCAGGAATCCTAGCTCTACCTTAAAAATACAATCATAGAAACTGAGAAATATACCAAGTTAGAATCTAAACTTTCTGCAAGGCATTCAGATGATAATGGAGATGAGTCATTGAAGCAGTTTCTCCTTGCTTCCCTAGAAGAAAGGAAAGGGAAAGCCACTAAGCATGAATGAGTTGCTGGTTTGCCATAAAGCACAGGAGAAATCCTCAGTGTGGATGCTTCTCGTGCCTTGCTTTGGTTTTAGCACTACCAGTGGTACCATCATAACTTTTTCTTCCTTTGAGAGCAAGAGCAATATAGCATCCTGTTGGAGCAGAACTTGGTGTGTTCTTGACATAAGTTTGCTGCTGAAATGGCATTTGTGCATCAACTCCTACCTTTCCTTGCAACTTTCAGTCAGATATGCCTGTGTTGTTTTCCCAACCCACTTCAGCTCCACATCTTTGACTGCAGCCGATTGGTTAAGGAAATGTGGATGATGTAAGTCTGACTAAACTTTATGGGGATGAGGACAAAGCTCAGCATGGGATCAAATCCTTGTGTTCCTGCCATTGCTCTTTCTTCTGCATAGGTAGCAGTAGCAGCAGTGGCTACGCCCTCGCTTGCAGTGCAGAGAGAACAGTGCCCACAATATTCCAAGACTGCATACTGTGGCTGTGTGCACATCATACATTTAAAGCACATTACTTCCCCCATAGAACCCTGGGGACTTTGGTTTGCTGAGGGTACTGGAATTGGAGCTCTGTGATGGGCTAAACTACAGTTCCTAGGATTCTTCAGGTGGTGTCATGTACTTTAAATGTTTGGTGGGTACACAGCCTGTGTCAGAGAAAGTGTTTCAGCTGATTCAGCCCTAAAAAACAGCTTGTTCCTGTGATCCTTTTGATAACAGAAACTAACCAAATCTTCAAAGCTGGGAAACTCACTGAGTATGATTGACCTTGATTTCTTCTTAAACAGACTTTTGAAAGGAAAAGCTAGGCAGGTATCAGAGCAGGGTAGAAAAAGTATTAAGTTCAGTTTTGCATTGTAATCAAGTACACAACAAGGACCTTTTCTTCTATCTAAGGGCTGTTTGCTTAGGCATTGGGTTTAAATGTTAGTTTTCTAGTTTCTATACTATACAACAGGTGTGTGGAAGCAGCAGCCATCCAGATGTTGATAGACTCTTATTGGCCCCAGGCAGCATGGCCAAAAAGCAACAAAAATGCAAAATGTAGTCCAATAACATTTGGAAGGCTAAGGTTCCCCATGACTAATCTACAAAAGCAGCGAGTTCTTTACACTAGCATGAGAGCAGCATTAACTTACTTAGAACAAAAGGTTTTGCAAACTCAATATACCTGCTAATAATGTTGAACACATTATATATTTGACGATATGGCTACATTATTAAATGTGGACTTCCTGCCATTTTAGTCAAGGCATAACACTGGAATAATATTCATTTTCAAGTGCAAATGAGAATGGCCTTGCTTTGTGTGTGGAATGGCCTTGAATATGAGTCAGTTGGAAGGATTAATTTTATAATACATGAGCTTAAGTTCCAAGACACTCTTTCTGTCCAGCCATAATAGTTACCTTTTATGCAGCATCTGGAAACAGCAAGTCCCGAAAGCCACTAATATCAACAACAGCAGTGGTATAGTAGGTATAACAACATAAATTAAATTGGGAATTAAACCTACAAGAAAAAGGGTTTCATTATTGTATTTTGCTTGAAATCATAGGCTCTGCTTGCACAGAGTCAATCTTGTACTGCACCAGTCAATCACAACAATCAGAGATCTCTTAAGCCAATGGCTCACACGTATGAACTAGCGTGATCTAGTCCATGAAATCTTACAACCCAAGAGGTATCCAATCTTAAGAACTCTACTCTTCCAATTTTCAAACTGTAGACTGCAGAACACTACCCTGAGGCTCTTTCAAGGCATCAGTGAAAAAACTGGTCGTGGCAAAGACATGAAAGACAACTTGCCCGCCTCTGAAGACTTTTCCACATAAAGTACAACTGTAAAAGTTTTGAGAGTGTCCCAGGGTTTATCTTCAGTCCTGGCCAGGGCTTTTGGTTCTCACCATTTCCTTTCTGTGTTGAGCGGTGGCAGAGGAAGCAGGGAGTGCTGAACCCAGTCCCATGTATGATTGGTAACCGGATGGTCAACCCAGCACGGGTGCAGGTTGCTTCAATAGTACCCCACCTCCAGCACTACCTAACAATGTAGGGGGAAATGCATGCCCCCTACTTCAGCATCATAGCTGTAGGCAGTTGTACTCAGCAAACAACCTCACCAGCCACCATTTATAAAAGCCAAACATACAAAACAAGAACCTGATTGGGAAGGTGCAGAACTTTAGCAAAAAGCTGACTTTCCAAAACTTGTTCATTAACCAAATGTTTTGTTAGATCATTTTTTTTTTAGTTAGTTATTCTGCGGTCCATTAAGCTTAATGGACTAGATTAAGACTTGAACATGCAGAACCCCCTGCAATTCATTCACTGTGTGTGGCTCTGAAGTAAGAATGAGAGGAAACTGTGGGAGAAAATACTTGGCATATTGACTCTGGCTGTTTGCGATGTGATGTCTATCCTTGACAAAAAGCATTTCCCCTTAAAAACCCAAGTAGAGCTATTTGCCCTGCAGCAACGACATCTTGAATTCTTCTTCTTTTTAAAATCCCAGAGCTCAGGTTCATTTTAGTTTCTGGGAGTACAGCCAGTTTATTCATATGATGAATAAGTGGGGTTTGCATGTCTGCAGTCTATGCTTTATATTTAAATATTACTCAGATATCAGAATCATATGCATCAATTACCAGTTTCAGTAACAACCACCGGAAAATGATCTTCTGGCTTGCTTGAATCGTGAGGCTTCCCTGCTGGCACCGTTGGCTGGGCTTCTGTGAAGGTAATTACATATTTTAAGAAAACAAAATCGAATTCCTGTGTTGGGACATCTGCACATATTACTGCACTTTGCAAAAGCTCCAAAGGCAACAGGATTAATCAGTTTTGAACATGAATACGTGTAGGTGATAAACTCGTCTAAGGACTTTACTGTAACATAGGGATAACATCTGGAATAAGAGTTACAAACTGAAATATTCCAAAATGTATCCATTCACTTATAAAAACATACATGGTAACTATTATTCTCTACAGGATTCATTGTTCAGCTGTTCCATGGCTACTCTGCTTTTCCAATCTATGGATTGTTTTGCTTTTGGAAATGATGGATGAGATTCTATTGCTTTACCACTGCAACTCAATCCAAACGTTTCTTACCATAATCTGGATCTGCTCTGTCTCCTAATTCTTTTTCTAGGATGTCATCTGTTAAAATAATATATAAACAAGGCAGGGAGGAATAGGTTGTTTACATTTTTCAGGCAATCCTAAATTTAAATAAGCAGCTTTCCAGATACTTAAAACCATATGTTGACAATTGCGTTCAGTGGGATACATTTTTGTACTTAAGGACACAATACATCCTGTAGCATCTTAAGAAGTACTTAATTAGAGTTGCAATTCTATACCTACTTCCCTTGGAATAAGTCCCATTGAACTCAATGGAATTTATTTATAAGGAGATATGTATACTACTGTATGGATAGTTAATGCAAGATCCTATGCTTGAGGCAGAAAATAAAATAGTGTGTAATGATTAGTTTAACTTCTGCTAAAATCTAGGCCCTATGTTAAAATCTGAAGCGGGGTGATGTTGCCTCTTAGTAACAGAATAACATAGTACCCCCCTGGTTTACATTTTATCTTGCTTCTATACACTAATCCAACTAAACTGTGAATTTCACTTGTGTTAATGAGATACATGGCCTGCACTAGGGTAAAGTCACCAGGACTTCAAGGGTTTGAAAAGTCAACCAGAAACCACACACGACATATGAAGCTCATCTTCAGCATTTCCTACCTGGACCATATTTGCAGATAAAATTGTGCTTCATGTTGCATCTGTCATCATTCCATTGGTAAAGGTAAGGCCCTCCCAAGCCAGGATTTGCAGTTGGTTGATGATACATCACAACACAAGCTTCGCTCCCACAGGAAGGCTCATCTGTATACCAATTTCTATAACAATACACAAATTACAGTAAAAATTAGTTTGAAAACTATTATTGCTTGTGAGTCCATTTTTGCTTTGCTGGATCTAAAAAAGGGAGCAGGAGTAGCTCAGTGGTAAAGCACATTCTCTGCAGGCAAAACATCCAAGGTTCAATTCCCAGCAAGGACTGAGAAATACGTCATTCTGAAGCTTTGGAAAACCACTGTATGCCTATGAAGACCAGAGGTAGCCAACATGGTGACTTCAAATGTTGTTGGACTACAATTCCCATCATCTTCAGCCTACATAGCCAATGGCTAAGGAAGCTGGGAGCTGCAGTTTAACATCATCTGAAGGACAGCATGTTGACTACCCTGGATATAAATAATACTATGCTAGATTCAGTGATGGAGCAGAGAAATGGGAAAAGTGAGAGAAAAACAGAGAAAATTGAAATTAGCATTTATCTACCCGCTTAGTCACATTTCCATACACGCTGCCAACATTTGGTGGGTATTTCACTAGTAAACATTTCTTTATAAATTACTAATACATAATTCATTATTCTTATTTCAAAGGATCCATTTTCTCTTCAGGGATTATGGGGCCCCAGGGCAATATCAAGTCTGCCTAGCAGCCCCAAATCCCCTTTTGGTCTCTGTTTGCAGCAGCAGCAGCAGCAGCAAATGACCCAAAATATTTACCTGAAGAGTGAATTGCTTCCATCTGTCCACTTGTAAAGATCAGGGCAGGCACTTGATGTGGTTTGTCCCTCTCCACTTCTCCACAGCCCGATCCAAAAGTCCCCGTCAGAAATGCCGAGGCCTGATTTTGTGAGGTTCTGCAGCATGTTTTCTATTAACTTTTGCTCTGTTTCACTTTCAAGGCTGAGGAGTACTCCGCCATCTATTTCACAGGCCAGGCGAGCCTCCTGGAATCCCAGACGTCTGGACAAGTCTTGAAAATAGGCTATCTTGTAGCAGGGGTGTGTTGAATCACCATAACATATCTTTTGCCCTAAAAAAACAACCACACACCAATATAGAGACATGCAGTTATAGGTTAATGGAGCCTTCTTTCATAGCAAAACAGCATATGAATGACATCAGGGTTACATTCCCCTATTCTCGCACCATCCTTTATTTAACTTTTCCCAGAATTCCATGCTAATGATTGAAAAATTAATAACCAACTCAAAAATGTTATGTGCCTTAAAAATGTAAGAATCTGATAGGATAACTTTTGAGACGCAATGGGTACAATATTCGTGAAGGTTACAACCCACAAGTGCAGACTAAAGGGGGGGTCAATGAATCATGTGTACATTTTCATTATTATTATTTGTGGGAGCCATGAACATTTTTTTGTGGAAAATGAAAGAAATGGAATGACATGAAAATGACATATTTCCTCCATTGATCCTCTCTACCCTAACTGCTCTGCTCCTATCCAACTACAGAGATTGATGAGCAAAAGCTGTCTCCTGAGCAAATGTCACATGATAGATCCTGAGACAAGTGTAATTTGAACACTCATCAAAATGCTGATACTGGTCCTGTTAAAATAGAACTGGAAAGGACCTCCTCAGAAGCTTAAATGGAGTGAGCTTCAATGGAAGCATCCTTTCAGCTTTTAAACAAACTACAGTCCTCCATTATGAATTCAGAGAGTTGTGATTTGCACAAACTAGGTTTAATTAGAACAAACCAGTTTCCCCAGTATTCATGTTTTAAATACTTTTCTAATACACCCTTCAGGATCTAAAGCATGGTTTGTTCTTGCAAAACCTTTTAAGTTACAAAAAACAGAAATGGGGAGAGGGTTCAAGGGTATGGGGACACCATTGAGAATGCCCTGTGTAAGGTGCCTGCCCAAGGTCTGATCTGAAGAATCACGAGGCCACCACATTGCTGAAGCTAAGCAGTTCTGGCTCTGGTCAGTGAATAGATGAAAGACTGTCTTTGGGAAGCACATGAATGCTGTCTTAGATTACATAATGGAAGGAACGTAGGCTACAAATGTAAGAATATAAACATATAAATATTTGGTTTATTGATTGGCCAGACAGCAAGACCTCGGATGTTGAACTGAGCATCTGGTGAGGCTCATATGGATGAAAGTGGTCTTTCAGGTATCCTTGGCCCAAACCGTTTAGGGCTTTAAAGGCTAAAACCAGCACCAGTAATCAGAAACTGTGATTTGTTCAAAAGCAGAAATGAATGTTTCTAATCCTCTCCTTGTGACTGTGAAAAATTACGAGAGGGCAAAGCACATGAACCCAATGCTCACACAGGTTCATAGCAGACATAGCATGAAACTATGGTTTCCAAACGACCAGTGCTATTTTTCTAGAAAAAGTGCCAGAATTCACCATGAACATCTCTCTTGTTCTCTTATAATGGCAATGGCACCCACCTGAGAGGTGCTGGAACTGAACTCTGGCGAGTTCCAGATAGAAAAAAAAAAAGCCCTGCTAAGGACTCTGAAAAGAATATCTATCTACACTACATTGCTCCATAGTTACTTCAAGAATGGACTGCTACTGCAATGTGCTCTATGTGAGGCTGCTATAGAGAAGCTTTCAGAAACTTCAGCTAGCAGCAAGAGCACTAAGTGGGCTGGTCCTTGGGACATAATAATAACACTTTTGCTGTACTAACTGCACTGGATACCAATAAGTTTTTGGACTCCAATCAAAGTGCTTGCTGGCACTACTGAAGTCTACCAGGCTTGAGACCAGAATATGTAAAGGTCCTCCTTCTCCCATTTTAGGCTACTCTATCACTGAGCACATCTGATAAGTTTATGCTGTATATCTTCCCTTTGTCTGCAGTACATCCAGTAAGAATGTGGAAGGGGATCTGCTCTGTGATGGCTCCCAGCGTATGTAACTCCTTGCCTAGGTAGATATGTCATCCCCCACCTTACAATATTTTCAGTGCCTTTCTCAAAACTTCTTTGCTAGGCTAATACACATGGTTATGGGCTGGAAGCAAGGCTGCATTCAAATGTGAGGTTTGCTGTGTTAGTTTTACTGGTTATAAGGCTTCTATCCCAATTTCTAATGTTCCTTTTACACTGCAGTACCAGCTGCATTGTGGAACTGTGGCTTTTAGATTGACATACTGCATGTCAAGCTGAATTTTGAACAGTGGGGAAGAAGTCTTGCTGGGATATTGCCCCACTTTTCATCACATGGAACTACAATACAAAACTCAGCTTTCCAAGTTATCAGGCTTGCGAGTTAATGGGATTGCAAACAGATTAAAAAACAACAACAATTAGTATGGAAATAAGTGCTAAACCTCCACCAGATTTCCAAAAGTGGCATTTATGTCATGAGAAATACCACATAAAAGATAAGAATTGCCAGGTTTGGGTTTTGATTATGTCACATAGTTCTAAATTTTTGGATCATTTTAATCTGACTTTACTGGATTAAGTGGACAGTGTGATAGAAATCTAATTCATGGTTGCATATTCTGATTCAGAGATATGTGCACATCACTGCTTGTCCCTCATGCCCAAGCACGTTAGCCCTACCATATATGGCAGAACTGGTCAACTTTTCAGTGCCATATGTGTGGTCCCAATTCTGCAACAGAAAATCATATGCAACCCTAGGCTGTGGTCATGAGTTATGGTATCCAGACAAAGGAACCAGATGTACATTTGTTAGTAACCAAATTCACATTTATCTAACACACACACACACACACACACACACACATATATCAAGTTTAATATGATAAACATATATATAATAAAATATCTATATTAATAGAGTAAACACCCTGTTTAACAATATAGTATAAAGTTAAGACACAGAAACAAGGTGATCTGAATAGTTTAAGAAAAACAAGAAACAAATTGCAAACTCAGATGTGGACTCAGCCTACTGAAAGAACCACACCATCATCCTTGTTTTATTTATTTTTGTATTTTCCCATGAAAATATAATTTAAACCAGAAAGCTTTATACCTACCACATCGTCTGTGAAATATCCAACAAATACCATATCAAAAGCATGCAATATTGAATGAAGGTAGGCATGCATTTATTCCTTGCTGACTTTCATGAATGAATTGAATAAAAATACTTTCCAACTCCACAAAGAAAAAGCATATCTGGTACCAGATAAGGCCAACAGGAATGGGATAAGAGGAGAGGTCCTCTTATGGATCAGAAACTAGGTAAATAAGAGGAATAAGAATATATGGACAGACTGCATCAAGGAGAGATGTGAACAGTGGGGTCCTCCAAGGATCTGTATAGGACCAGTGCTTTTTAAACATTCATAAATTATCAGTAGTTCTGGGGGAACAGAATGATATCTATATTTGTTCATGATCCCCAATTGTTCAATGTTCTTAAAAGAAAAAGGGGATTGCAAGGACCTCTAAAAGAATCTCACAAAACTGCATGAATGAGCATAGCAAATATAATTCAGTATACGTATAAAGTATGTTCATAAAGTCTAAGTACAGTGGTACCTCAGTTTAAGAACAGCCCTGTTTACGAACTATTCAGTTTACGAACTCCATCCAGAAGTAGTATCCCAGTTTGTGGTCTAAGAACGGAATCCGAACGGTGGAAGGGCACCAGCAGTGGGAGGCTTATTAAGCACACCTCAGTTTAAGAACAGTTTCGGTTTTAGAACGGACTTCCAGAATGGATTAAGTTCGTAAGCTGAGGTACCACTGTGTAAGTCCAAGTAGAAAGTGATTTGCATTAGAGCAAAAAGAATCCTAACCACATAAATGACAATGGGATCTGAGGTTATGGTGGACAACTTGATGAAAACATCAAACCATTGTCTGACAGTTGTGTAAAGGTCAAATTGTTATGGCCTTAGAAAAGAAACTAAAAATACCGTTATCAAAATGCCTTTATACAAATCTAGTGTGGCCACATTTGAAAGGCTGCCTATAAGTCTGGTTATTTAAAAAAAATGCTACAGAGATGGAATAGAGCAGTAAAAATGATCAAGCGGCTGCAGCAACTTCTCAATGAGAAAAGGCTACAATCACTGAGACTTTTAAACTTATTTTTAAAATGTAAGTAAACTGTGGGAACATGAGAGATTTATGCATGGTGTACAAAAGTACAGTGGTACCTCGGGTTACAGATGCTTCAGGTTACAGACGCTTCAGGTTACAGACTCCGGCAACCCAGAAATAGTACCTCGGGTTAAGAACTTTGCTTCAGGATGAGAACAGAAATTGCATGGCGATGGCGTGGCAGCAGTGGGAGGCCCCATTAGCTAAAGTGGTGCCTCAGGTTAAGAACAGTTTCAGGTTAAGAACAGACCTTCAGAACGAATTAAGTTCTTAACCCAAGGTACCACTGTAGATAGAAGTCTTTCTCTCTTCCTCCTATAATACTTAGAACCCATTTTTCCAATGAAGATGCATGGTGGAAGAATGAGGACAAATAAGAGGAAGGACTACTTCACACAGCACTTAGTTAAACCAAGGAATTCTCTACCAGAAGGTGTGTGATTTTTGCCACCAATCTGGACAGCTTCAAAAGGGAATTAAAGAGAACCATGGAGGATAAGAAACTAGTTTTGCCGGAGAGGCAAAGAGTGATGATGACAAATGCCCATGTTTTAAAGAAGAGGGATGTATGAGAATCCCTGGAAGATCAGGAAATGAAGAGACCAATAGGGGAAAAACCTGAAGGGAATTATAGGACTAAAGACCAACTTGACATTTTTTAAAATTTACAGCCACACCCTCAAATGCTACATAACAGGCAACGGATTGTCACAGCTGCTGAAAATGATGATAACAAATTCATTGATATCTCTGTTAATGTACCAAAGTTATTTTATTCATCCTACAAGTGGTCCTGACTACCTAAATGTCACACACAATTTCAGCTTGAGAGCTAACATGCCACAGAAAATGCAAGATGTGAGCTGATAAATAGAAAGAACAGATCTCTAGGGTAGCATTTTGACCCATCCATGATGTATCATATGATTAGCAATCATCCTTTCCTATTATGTTGT